AGAGGCGTCAAAATCTCAGGGCAATTTTTTGGATGACAGGTGCTGAGATAAAGCTAATCGGCAAGACCTGTTATTGTGACTTAAGAATAATGGCGTTTGGGTCCTGGTAGTGCTTTTCGATTTTCGGTTTGAAGAGTCGTTGAGCTGGTAATCCCTTCAAAAGACGATACGAACGTGAAAAAAAAACGCCAACAGTCTGACCAAAGGCGGCACAACACTGGTCAAAGCAACGAGAATTTCCAGCGAAGAGCCAGTCGATGAATTAACGAAGTGCTTACATGATATGTTTTTAATGTGCATGATTTCACTGTGACCACGCGAGAAAGTAAAATTCGATGAGCAAAAAATGTTGCTCGCCTTACAGGTATCCGGTGTGCGCCGGATATTAATGAGTGATATCCACGAAAAAGAGGCTCGCACTTTCCGTTAAGGTCACACACATACATCAAGCAGAAAATGCATGAGCTAGGATTGGAGGGATTGACATGACTGCCTCTCGAATATGGTAGCATTCCCGTAACATCTCTAACATGGGGCACCCAAATGGGCTGCACGGACAGCCTTGGTAGACAACGAGACACCCATATATAGAACAGTAGACAGAACATTTCTTTAGGATGGCAGCACTTTTGTACGATACCTCTGATTTTCTGATACGGTATGGTGGAGTGTGCTTACGATCAACTTCGCCTTCCTGTTCCTCACGGCTGTGCAGAACGGAAAAGGTTCGGAAAATCGCTATATATAAGCGGTAAGTTCTTTTTTGAAAATTTCAATGAAAAAGCTAAGAGCATTTTTCCAGAAGCGACTTTTACTGTTATCCTGGAGCCTAGACCTTGTGCTCGGTGGTCCGCACGCAGGGTGTAGGCTCCAGGATAACAGTAAAAGTTTAAACGAAAGGATGACAAACGGGGTAGGAACAAACACTTAAAATTTCAGCCTCCCAGCTTTACTGGTTGCTGAGATGAAAGTGGGTGACAAAAGTTCACTCGCTTTCCGTACACACACACACAAACACACACACACACACACGCACACACACACGCACACAAGCACACACACACATACACACACATACACATACACATACGCACACACGCACTGACTGAGAATCTCTCTACCATATGCCTTTTTGCTGGCCGTAGTAGCTCCATAGCGCTGCACAGTAAAAGCGCGTAATGAACAAAAGCATACTAAGATTGCCGGGACGGCCAGTATGAGTACTGTATGTCAGTAACATTACTGAGATGCTCTTATGTGTTGGAAGAAAATATACCAGGCCTTTCGATGGACAAAAAACCCATAGGAGAATGTACTTTAAAGTTGCGATGAACTAGAGAAATTTCCAGAATTTCAACAAATTTTTTGAGAAATGCGCATTTCACTTCCACTACTCTTGTTCATTTGTATTAAATCTTAGTAAATTTAGTTTAGTAAATAATTTTTGCAATAGCATAAGTAATAAAAAACTGGAAAAGTCAAATGAGTGTAAGAGAATTTGGGGGAAAAACTAACTATAGACGTAATTTAAAAGAAATTATATTACACTAGAAAATGAAGGAAAATATTTCACGCCAAATAAATCGTATAAGTTCCTTTTCAACACTGCAACTGGACTTCGCCGGTGTTTTTGAGAATTAGTTGGAGTTAGCAACAT